ATCTGATGAAATTCCAAGCATCCAAAAAGTACTGCGGAAGTATAAAAGCACAGAATCATCCCAAGTGTCGGTAAAAAATACATTGATTCAATTCAAAGAATTGGCGGTCAAATTTGGCATCTAAATTCTCAATATTGCGGCTAAAAATATTTCCGTGAAAGGTATTTCATCAGATTGCCTCGTACCATTTTCTGGCTTTATAATTTGAGAAAGCATGTTTTATTTTTTATAAACACCAATATATCTCTCTAGTTGGGTTAGGGTTAGAGGTGGTCTTTAAAAAGGGGACGATTTCGTTAAATGAAAAAGATCTCTTTCATCGGTTGCTGGTCTCGACATGTAATTTCTTAACCGCAAGGATAGCATCATATATGCTTCAAGGCCGCAAATAACGCTTGCAGCAACGATGAATGTAAAGGCATGATCTCAAACATTATATCTTCTCTTTTTCTCGTTACATGCTCAACGCCCTTTTTTACTAGACTTAGAGCATCAATAGCTCTAGGTATTCACATTAGCAAGATATTTTCATCTAGTTCTAAGGCATTGCTTGATCCATCCTTTATGAGCACAGCAGGCTTAAATTTTGATGTTATAGTTCACAATGATAATGCTGCGATTTATTGAATTTCTGCTGCCATCCTCAACTGGAATCCTTTTGCTGACTCTAAAAACACAGCTAGGTTTTTCCTTTTTAGATTTTTGAATCTAGCCCAAATATTTCTAGGCATTATCGTTTGATATATTGGAATCAAACTTTTCAACTTTACCAAGTTGGGAATACTTGATCGAGTACTCTATAATCTTATTCTTGTCAAGGACCTTGGTAATGGCGTCTCAAGAACCTTCGCTATTTCTAAAAATGATCGTCTTCTTACTATTACTCTTAACCCAAAACTGGTTCCCTTTGGGCAGTTTTTCAATATCCCTTGGACTCTAGTTAGATCTCTTGATAAGGTATTCATCAAAATTTACGATTGGGAAAGCCGAGTTAGCGTATATGTGTTTACTCATATTCCTGACACTGGTTTCTCTATCACTGAAATTTTATCTTCCTCTGATACTTATATCTTCGTTTTGATTTGACATTTCCGCCAACTTGGCAACTGGCATCTTACTTAGCGTGATAAGTACTCCAGACGATCTTAGGTCAACAGATGGAATTAGCAGAATCATTTGGGTACCATTTGATCTTCCCGATACTTTTGTTAAACTCGCATTTTATAAAGGCTCAGAGTTGATTGCAGTGATCCAGGCGCGAGATAATCGAGCTTAAGATCTCAGCGTCTCAGAAGATGAACTTTCTACAGCCTTGCATAGGATATCTGTTTGCTGGTATGTTTTTCTAGAAGCACTACACTCAATATCCATAGTTTGATTGTTTTGCCTTTACAGCTTCAAATGCTGGATTAATGATTTATAAAAGCTCACTTGCAATTCTCGTTCAGCGGACCCGCCCGCTCCCATTCGATACTGGCTCGCCAGATGTCGCAGTCAATTTTTAACGAAGACACCTTCCAAAGTTAGACAATTTCTGGGTCTAACAGCGGAAATGTTTTCTTTAATTTTTTCCGTGCACGCACATACTGGAACATACAGTGTAAGCGCTGATTTCTCTCTTGGAGATCGCGTATCTTTTATGGGGTTAATTCTATATTGTCAACGTCCTCTTCTGAATTGCTTCAACGTTGGTTTTCTTTGTATAGATAAGGATTCAAGGAATCTTGCTGATGAAAATACTGCCATATTCTTGAGCCAAGTTGAGAAAGATAGGATCACATATGGTTTACTCAACACTAGTCAATATAGTCTTCTCATAATCAATCTCGCCATGCCTGAAATGAGTAATAAAATGTTTTTTGGACCGATTTCAGCATCAAAAACGAGTTTTGGCGCCCATTGTGTAGTTTTCACAATATCCCTTTTTCGGAAAAAGTCAAAAAAATCTAATTGTTCTACATAGGGGGGGGGTACCCTCTAAGAATAAAGCATGTTCTAAAGTTCATTGTGCGATTATCAAAACGGTAGCCAGATTAAGGATTAGGGATTTATTATAGACATATCTCCCTCTTATGTTCATCCCCACTGGTGTAGTTCTGGGGGGGGGCTCAACAAAGTTACTCTTATGCTTCCCAGAATTTTGAAAATAAATTTGGAATAGTTGGTCAAGTTTCCTTTAATTAGTCTTGGGGCAGTTACAACTAAAACCTCAACCTTTAATCATGCTGGTAGGGCTTTTTGCATGTTACTAGCAAGTATATATTGAAGGGCATGGCGTGATGTGGATGAACGATTTCTTTCTTATTCTAGAAATTGGGTACCCAAATTGGAAGAAGCGTTGGAAAGTAAGGAACATCTTTAACCGATTTATCTGCAAATCGGAGTATTTCTACTATTCAAAAAAGTTTTTGTCAAAATGCAGAACAGAGTTTCCCCTTCAATGGAGAATGATCCTTGAAAATTCAATCGAACCCTAACCTAACCCTAAACTCATCCAATCCATCTCGAAAACCATCACCATTTACAATGCTTAAAACGATTATTGCATCGTGACATAATTAATTGATATCGTGGACATGTGATCAGTTTTGAGTCACTTATTGATGTATGATGGTTGATTCGCAATGCGCGTGATTATAAATTCATATTGGCTCCATTTTAACACGCACACCCTAGGTCGATCAGACCATTCAACTTTTTTTGCAAAAGAATATGCGGCGTTTCATCTCGATTTCTAGATATATTAATGCCCTCCCAAATTGGAAAGATCTTCAAGATCAAATCGACTAACGGAGTTGATTCTTTTAAGGGCGATAGCTTGCAATCGTTTAGTCTCCTCCACTAAACGGGCAGCCCGGAAGAGCCTTTTGGTATTTAGGATAGCTTTTGAAATAGAGTTCTGTATATAAGAGTTCATTCCGGTTTACTATATCGCGTGCGAATGACTACCGTGCTTCAGGTAATCATGCAACTCTTACCCAATTCATCAAAAATCTATCAATCACCTGATTGATATCAATGGATTACGCGAACCATTTCTCCAACCGGAGGCCTTTTTGATAGCCAATTTATGTATCCGTTTTAAATATCCTTATGGATCCATGATCCTCGCCATATAAACTCTATATTTACTAGCTTGATGTGCAAGCACTCATCGATCCCAAACGCCAAACCCACCCAATTTGTGGAGCAATCCAAAGGTACTTCGATTTTGGTCGGCTTTTCACTTTGATTGCTTTTTATGTCGGCGTTAACCATTTATAATTAAAAATCCTCACATAAAGATCACTATCCTTTGCATGCATATTGCTACAACCATCTTCTACCATGCAGCTTTGCTTATTGCAATGGTTCCATTTTTGTATAAGGAAGATTAAAGAAATTGGCCTTTTGATAAAGATTACGAAATATGCATGCGAAACCCACGTCTTTAATGGATGCTTACCAGACTCCTTTCTATTTTGATCTTTTGGCGAAAGATATTGGTTCTGATCCAGAAAGTCGTCAACCGCATCTCTGGGAACGTGGAAACATTTTTATAGCCAAAGAACTTTGCATGGATGGCTAATTATTTATTGAGTTGCACCCTTAATCTGGCTAGCTTTTATTCAAGGGATATGATTTCACACAAAGGAAGTAGCGTTGAAATATCTTCAGGTACTTTTATCATTGCAGCAAATAAATGATTTGCACGTGTTTACATTGTCAGGGTCTTCAAACTCAACTTGGATCGCAGAATGGTGAAGAAAATATTTTTTACACAACAAAGACTGGCATTCTGCAAGGACGTGCTTGCTTCGTGCAAGGAGAGATTTGTCGGAATCATGCTCGCTACTTTTAACAACAACGTGAAGACTAATGGTGAACTTCTCTGAAGACAAAGACCAAATATGTAGATCATGGATCCGTGAAACGCCATTAATTTTCAAAATATCAGACTCTATCATGGAAGAGTCAATATGGAGTGGCGTTCCTACACATTATAATGGACGATATTACCCTCCATGATGACATGTATTGCTTCAGATAGGACCTTTACGGTCGTGAAAAGTACAATAAAAGAAAAGGTAAATGTACAGATGGGGTCCGCTATTTGATATTTTGGAGAGGCCCAGATGATTGCAGATGCAAAGAGAACCCCAAGGGACTGGATAAGATCGCCAATGATGTGGATAAACGCAGACCTGATATTGAGATTTGAAGGTAAAAGGGAAGCCAAAAAATTATCATGCCTATGAGCATGGGCGGGGATCTCCTCAGACTCTTTATGCCGATGTAAGGGCTCGTGTATTTCCTTGCTTAAACGGTGGAAAGTTAGGATCATAATAATGTTAATGCAAAAGCCAATAAGGGCAACAAAAAACATGAGCTTGCCATTAATTTCCTTTGGGTTTCTTATTCGGTCAATGGCTTCCAAAATAAGGGCACCAGTCAAGATCCAAATGAACGCCACTGATCCGAGAGCGCCAAGAATTTCTGCACGATGGAATCCAAAGGAATGCTTCTTGGTAGCGGGACGGAGCCCATAAACCATTGAAAGCAGCGAAATCACAAATCCGGCAATATCTGATAGCAAATGTGCCGCATCGGAGAGAATTGCAAGGGAGCCGCTCAGGATTCCCCCAATAACCTCCAATATCATGAAAGTACCGCAGATTGCAATCAGAATGGCCAAGGATTTTATGTTTTTTGCCGATCTCAGCCTTTCCTTGGCAAGTATACCGTCGTGGGAACATTCGGTGGATCCTTTTTGATCGCCAATATTGACCTGGATCATTGCAGCTAAATTTACAAATTGGGGCTTTTCTGCAATTTGTACTGATAAATTTAAATGTACGGTGCTTACTTCTCTATTGGCCGGCCAAAACAGTCATGTGCCACAAAAGACCCTTTACTGTAATTTGCGATGCGAAATTTTATCTTGGCGTTGATTGGCAGATGATCGAAATTTATCAGGAGAATTCCATGCCAACAGGAGACAGAAAAAAAGCGAATATTGTTAATGAATATCCCAAAGTAGACACACGATGCCCGAAAATTGACCTTGAAAAAAAAATTGGCCCCAGTGTGCCCCCGAAGCATTTTGGATACGTGCCCACCCTCCCTAATGCACACACATCGGCGCAGAATCTAACGCCGCTCTCGGATATCCAACCGTCGGTAGAATTTTACGGCGATATTTCAACAGCTTCTAAAAGTAAGAATCCATCAGTGGCCCCTGGATATGCAGATGCAATAACTTCGCCCAGAGATTCCCATGGCAACAATTTGCAGCCATCTCTCATTCCTAAATACCCTCAATTGCCGACATCTGGTAACAACCCCTACGAAACCAATTCTTTTTCCATGGACGACCTAGCTTTCTCCTCCATGCAGGTTGCTAATATTCCAAAAGTAAATCATGAACGCGCAGGCGCTTCATTTGATTTTTTGTCGCCTGATCACAATTATTTCGCGAATTCCACTAGTGGACCTTCAAATCCACAAGTACCATATCCTTTACACATACCACAAGCCAAAGGAAGTGATATAGGATTTAATCATGAAGCCATTATCAATGATGGGCAGCATTCTCGCCTAACGGCAAAAAACGGGTCAATCCTAGCCTATTTGGACGCAGCTGCGGCCAAAGACAGCGTAAATCTTCTTACTAAACGAAATTCGAATCTGCCATTTCGAGGTGGCAAAGTATCGTTAACCCATAAAGATCAAATTGATGCCGTTGAAGATGGAGCCTTTTTACTTCAGAGGCTGATAGAACCAACCTCGTCAGCTACTTCTAATTTATTTAAAATTAAGCGGTCCTCTAGGCCTCCAATGAGAATGGCCTGTAATGCCTGCATCCGAGGCCACAGGGCACCTTCCTGCAAGCATTACGAACGGCCTCTTCTTGCTGTAAGGCCCAGAGGCAGGCCCTCGAGTCTTTGTTCTGGCTGTCTGGAGAAAATAGTGGACTGCGCATGTTCAAACGAAGTCTCTGAAAAGGCATGCAATGGGAAAATACATGGAACTGAACCAAATCACAACATCACGAAGCTCGAAATAGATGGAAAGGTCAATCCAACCAGACTGAGCCAGTATTACAAAAAACTTCTCATACAAACCCCAGACGTGCAATTTTCAAAAAGTGATGTTCCCCTTCAAGACGAAGGCTGCTGACGCCTCCCAACCATTTGTGCCCCAAGTGCTCTAGCGTCTTACGCATGTATTTTACATGATATGCAGTAAATATTACCGGTATAAAAAATTTTAATTTTATAACCAAATTTGCTTGATCGGAAATGATGTTTCATGGCACGCCCCAAAACCTCTTGAGAGACGAATCCGGGGCAATTCTTGTAACGATTGGGCGGGAAAGAAGCTTTAGAAAGCTACGAAAGAAAACGGAGGATGCCAAACTTGCCATCTCGTCCGTATTTAACAGCTTTTTAGCCCATCGGCTTCAGGTGCTCCAATTTCGGAGTATTCTGCTTTCTCCAGCCTCTGCCTGTGCACCAATCTTGAATGGGGATGGTCGGGCTTTTCTGGAGTTTCTTGCTTTCATTAATGGCTTGAACATCGATTACCGGCCTGGTGCAAGCAATTTAAAGCACACACTTTGCTTTCTTTATTTCACCTTCTTTTCTTTGGGATTATCAACCATTCCTGGGGATGTTTTTGATGGCTCTTTTATCTCCTTTGATATGTCCAAACGCCTCTGCGAATTTGTATGTCATTCGCTTTTGAACTCGGCTGGTTCTCAAACCTTGAATCCGCAAACAAATACCATCATTCTTAGGGTTGTTGAAATGGCTCTTCTTGTAATCTTTCCTGATGACCAAAGATGTGTTTTGGCTCTTTTAAATGTCTCGGCCAAGTTTTGCACGTTAGATAAGCTATTGGTGTCAAATTCTACGCTCGTTGACCACATCTATGCTTGTCTGGTGAAAATTGAGCTCCCACCGGATTTACTTTCTGACGTGTGTTTAAAGCTTGTTCAGTTTCTTGGTCGCGATCCGCTTGTTTTTAAAAGCCTTGTTGTTGACCTTTTTGTTGCTTTAAACAAGCGCAAATCGTTTCTTCTTTCCAATGACCATTTTCTCGAAATATTCACACGCATTCGAGATTCAGATATCATTCAAGACTTCAATGAGGCTGATGAAGATAGTGCCCTGTACAACAGCCCGGTCCATGTTGATTTTGCCCGTTGGTTTTTCGCCTCTTTCTTTGCAGCAGCCTCTATGGGAAATTTGACCTCGCATCGTTGTGATCTCCTTTACGGGTATTCTATCCGGATAATCTTGAGTTTGTTCGAACTACTCCGTCAAAAGGGAGGCCCTTCCTCCTGGTTATCTGAGCTTTCCTGCGTTTTAAAACCCTTTCCACCATATATTTCATATGGCAGTATAGCGCTGATGGTCCATTTTGACGCCTTATTTTCGTATTTTGATTTTGAATTTATGTATCCCCCCCAATATGGTACCCTAGACTTTGCGGATGCTTTTTTTCATATCAAAGATATGCCTTTTTCTTCGCTGATTTCGCTGATTTATTATCAAATGCATGGAATTCTGCAGAGACGCTCCGGTCACACCGAAAGCCTTTCCTTTTCATTTTCCGCTTTAAATCTTCTATTCATTCGTATCATTCCATCAAAGATTTCCCCATTGATCGGTCGCAACTCTGTATTTTATACCTTCCTGCTTTACAAGATTTCTACGTTCATCCGAAGACTGCTGGCATCAAGTCACATTGAAATTTCGTATGGAACTTCCACTAATTTGCCCGGCGCGTGCTTTATTACCATTCCAAAGACCAAGCAGAGATTTGATCTTTCTCCGCTTTCCAAATTTATCGCTGAAAATTGCCAAATTTTCACTTCCATTTTTAAAGCCTGCTCGACGGGGACTTGTGCCCCGTCGCTTGTGTTCCTTGAAGATGACGCCGAATATATTTCCAAATTATCGACTGTTTTGCTGGTTTATTTTTACTTTTTTGTTCCGATTTCCATTCGTACCGAATATTTCAATGCATTTTTGAGCTCCGCCTCGAAAAGGTTACCTTTTTAGCCTTATTTTGTTAGAGTCAGCGAAATTCGCCCCGAAAAGCTCATCATACGAAATGGATTTGCACTTCAAGATGGGCTAAGACACTTTGTGCTTTCAAGGGAAGGCTATTTTTCCTCCTCTCCCTGGTTTATCATCTTTACTGACGAGAATGGAACCCCGGAGCCCGGTGCAGACGGCGGTGGGCTTTACCGACAATTTTTGAGCGAATCTCTTTCTAGTGTTCTTGATCCAAAAATGAAATTTTTCGAAGAGATCCATTCTAAAGAGAATTACTTGTCTTCAGCCCTGATTTTCCCCTCTTTTGAAGAACCTTGCTCAGACTTTCTGTTGTCTCTTTTCAACGACCCTTTTTTGTGTGATGTGGATACCATTTATAGGTACATGGGGCATTTGCTTGGGCGCATCGTTTTGGCCCGTCTTCCTTTAAGCGGTTTGCACATTAATATGCGCTTCCCGCTCTCTTTTTGGTGCCAGTTGCTTTCTTTACCATCGCTTCCCGAGTGCAAGATTAATGAGATGCGCGAAATTGACTCTTTTTATCTGCTCCAACTGCTCAGCCTGGATCACACACTGAAGAGCAAATCAATTTCGCCTGATGAACTGGCCATTTTTAATGATGAAGGCCTTTTGGTTGATGAAAACAATTTCCCCTGCTATCTTTTCTCCTCAATTCAAAAGAAAGTATCCAGGCCTCAAATTGCCAAAATCGCTCTCGGATTTTTCTCTCTGGTGCCGCCAGAGATTTTTTCAATCTTCAATGCCACCGAAATCTCTTGCATTATTGATGGCAGATATACGCTAGATCCTGAAAATGGAAGGATCTCGATGGACCCCTCAGCAGACCGTTTTTGCATCGATTTGAATGACTGGCGAGAGAACACCGTATATGTTCTGCCATATACCTCCCAAGATCCCACGATTGTTCTCTTTTGGAATCTCTTGAGCAAATGGGAGGGAAAAGATCTCTCTTCGTTGCTGAGATTTTGCACCGGGTATGGCTCTGGACCTTACTTGGGCTTCAAAGAGTTCAACCCGCTTTTCTGCATTGGATATGGAGGCGCATCTCCAGAACGGCTCCCAACAGCCTCTACATGTGTCCACATGTTAACATTGCCAGAGTACGCTTCTGAGGATGTAATTGAGATCAGGCTTCGAACCGCGATTGGATGCCAAAGATTCTTGCTTTCTTGATTCTCGTTTTCGCACACTTTCTTAATCGACACTATGATGATGGCTTTATTTTTGGCGACAAACCTCTACCGCGGGCAAAATTTGTACAAATACTCCATTGACAGCGCCTTCAAGCTCAAGTGTCCGTTCTCGTCCAAAATGGTCGAGGACAGCTCATCTACAATAATATTTCTCAACCTCTGCAGAGAGCTGAGCTGCCTCGCCATCCAGGGGGTGGAAAGTAGCAATGCAGCAAGCCCAGTTGCATGTGGCGCAGCCATTGAGGTTCCATTGAGTGCAAGCAAGGCCCCGGGGGCTCCGGCCACAAGGCTGAAAATGTTGCACCCTGGAGCATATATGTGAACACATCTTGTGCCTCTATTGGAGAACGGGGCAATTTGGCGATTTTCGCAATATGCGCCGACAGATAAAATCCATGGCGCCGACGCTGCTGGCGAAATGTTGCAGGCGTTTGCCGCCTGGTTTCCAGACGCAGTAATGACAAACAAATTTGCTTTCCATGCGCTCTCCAGCATTGCATTGAGAATGGAAGAGCGAGTCGATGTGATAGACAGGTTAACCAGCTCGATTGCCGCACTTTTCTTCTGCGAGATGATCCATGCAAGGCCTGCAATGACGTTGGAGACCGGGCCTGTGCCGGCGCGAAAGACTCGAACGGAGATAATAGTAGCATCTTTGGCGACGCCTGTTTCCTGGCCACCAATGATGCCAGCTACATGGGTACCATGTCCGTGCTCGTCTGTCAATGATGAGTCGGCCATGGAGGAGGTCAACGTTGGATTTGTGTCTCCCCTACGATTTGATTCGAAGATAGACCATCCACCCTCGACACGTGAGCCAAATGAGGGGAGAGAACCGTCGATACCGGTGTCTATGACATAGATGCGCACATCTTTGCCCTTAGCAAGCGGATATCGGAAGAATTGGCTTTGCTGACCTGAAATCGAGGGAAGACCCCAAGAGGGCGGGTTAGATTGTGACCCAAAAATGCATTTTCGCTCAAGCGGCACTCGAGAGGGCGAAGCTACCTCAGAAAAGGAAGGCAATGCTTCGCTGGCATTTGTGGGAAATTCTCGATCTTCGTTCATTGCACTATTTTGGCCTCCCATCAGTCCATTTCGAAGACCGAATAGGGACTTTGGGTCCAGCAAGTGATTGCCGATAGCAACTTCTGCAACAGTGTCTTCCTCGATCTCCTTTACAGCCGCATGAGCGGCCAAGAAAGAGATCTCTTCAGAAGAAAATTCCCCCACAACCCCATGCATTCCATCCACAGAAAAAGCACCTGAAATGGAGGGAGGGGCCGTTGCATGCGTGGAAAAATCTCCGGCCACCGTTCCTTCCTTTATTGACTGCAGCAAAAATTTGCTTTCCGGATCTCTGAAATTTGCAACCAACGACACAATGTGTCGCTTACGAGGGTTGATCTCATCTGCATTGCTAGCAAGCATCCCACCTTCTGCCAGCCGGTCCCAAAACATAAAGCTTTCTTCGCGCTCTGCCGTCTGCAGGATCCTTTCCAAAATCGACATATTGGCTGCAGAAAAAAGAAGAAGCTGCAAAACTAATATGAGCGGAAGCCGCCAGATGCCGGACCACGCCATGCAACAAGTAGACATGGAGGGTCTCCCGCTCCATGTTTATTTATATACCCGAACTTCCCATTTGAGCTTATCACCGCGCTGCTTATCAGACAATTCAAATGGGAGCCCTCTTGGGCTGATCATTTAATGTCCAACTTGCCTATTGCGGCGCATCATCCGCATTTATCAATCGCGAATTGGAGGAGCACCAAAGCATAAAAAATTGTTTTTAAAAATACAGCATCCCATTTTGAGGAGGGCCCCGTTGCTGGCACAAATAAATCGGTGCATTTCATCTCGAAATTGTTTGCGGGCATGTGACATGCCCACATGCAGATTAGTACAGGATTTAATAATAAATTAGACGAGTGGCTTGTGCAGCCCGATTCCATGCATTATTCCTTCCATCAAATTGAGTGGAGAAGGCAGAGTATGACTAGGGAATTCTGAAATCCGGTCGATCAGAGTCGAAGGACCCCTCCCGGCCATGAGCACCATTGTTCGTTTGGATTGGCGAGGAGAAACTGCCGCCGAAGCTGCTGCTACTTTGTCGTAAGCTTCTTCACCACCACAAGGCCCATTGACATGGCAAACTTCTGGAATTGTGACTAACTCGCCAGAGACTCTTTGCAGCACGACTGATGGAATTGGATTGGACTCCTCAATGGAGGAAGATAAAACCAAGCTCACGGTATCTTTTGGAATCTTGTTGGATGCGAGAAGCATACAGGAACCCGGTGAGCCCCAATTAGATTCCGTGCTGCTGCCTCGAGTATCGTTGGCCCTCCAGAAGAAAAGTGGGCCTCCCGGTAACCCAACGGCCAGACCATCTCTATTTGATGCAAGCAAAAGGGCACCTTGAACTTCTTTGAGCCTTAGAGACCAGACAGGAGTTATCTCAGGTATCTTATATAATGAAATGAGCCCATGAGCACGCGACGCGAGCACCAAGGCTTTTTCAGGGATAACATTAAGCGAGTCAAACCGTGGGTCAATCGAAGTGCACGATTTCAAATGAAGCCCTGGCGCAATTTCATAAATGGAGAGCCATGTAGAGATACCTTTAGGACAGGCAGTGATCAAGGCCAATGTGTTTGAAATAACCAGTTCCATGGCGATCATGGGGTTGCCTCTTGGCTGGCGAAGGATCAACTGCCGTTGGATTGCCTTTGCAGAAACTTTCCACAGCGAAAGTTGACCATCTGGCAAACCAAGAACGAAAGAATCACCACCTTCAAGAGGACCTGAAAGAAAAATACGAGAAGGTTGGTTTACGGACAAGCGGTGTGATTCTGTTATCTTGCAGGGACGTTCTTCTGCAGATGAGACAAAGATCCAATCTGCATTCTCATTTTGTCTCCACAATGCCAGTTGTAAAGTGGAGGACTCGTTGTTTTTCATCACGACAACGACTTCTGTAGGCGAGAGAGCAAGAGAAGCCGAGTAGGAGAGGAGCGAGGGAATTCCTGGTATTCTCTGAATGCCTGTAGGCATGCCCCCAAGGATATGGCTACAGCGAGAGCTCTTTTCTTGGATGACTTGAATTCCCTCTGGAGAGGGAATCAAAATTGTTCCTGGAAATTTGGAATTGCACTGTAGAGGATATGAAAATGCAGGTTTTTGGCCAAAGTAATTCTCCGATGCACCGCCTGTTTCTTCTTTAAGTTTACTTTGGTCACTTTGAACAAAAGCAGGGCCATTTCTATGCAGCAACAGTAGCGAGCTCGAGGCTGGATCTAGGGGAGAGTATGTTGGCAATAGCCGCAATGAGTTATCGCTAGTCACAACTGCCATTTTACCGGACGGCGATATTGAGATATATTTAAACGCCGCTCCAAACCCTGGAAGAGTTGTCGAGGGGCGAGTTGTCCGTGCATATTTGGGGTTAAACGCGGCGGATGAGTCCGAGATTGTTCGTAGAAATGGGTTGAGCGGTGAATTCCAATGGCAAAGAACACCTTCGGATGCACCACTGAAAAGCGATTTTGACGCCCTCTGCCATTCCATAGCGACGACTGGAGACGAATGCCAATGAAGTGTTGTCAGCAGAGCTTGCTTTTCGGTATTCATTAAATAAAGGGCTATCACACCGTTGGAAAACCCGACCACCAGCACGCTTTTCATCACGGACAACATTGAAACCGGGTGTGACTTGTATTTTGGAGAGAGCTCAAAACAAAGCGGCTTTGAATGCCATTCAGAGTCCTTTACGTAGAAAAGCATAAACATGTTGCTGTTTTTACAAAGAACACAAAAAGCTTCGCATCCTTTCATTTCGGCAGGTACTGGTTTTCCAGAAGGATGAAGGCGGAGCGGCTGCATAGCAGATATTGGCGACGAATATCGCCTGCTATATATTTCAAGATCGAACAATGGCCCAACTTCTGATAGCCTATAAATACGAATAATGGAGCCTCCCGATTTTTTGACCCTATCGGTTGCGTTCATTGCTATAGCAAAAATCGATGTAGGATGGTGTGAGAATGCAGATATCGAAAACGACGGGAATGAATGCAAAACAGTTAATGAGCTGCCACTTATCCATTGCAATATGTGTCCTTCTGATGTTCCCAGAAATAGCCTTCCCGGCGTTTGGGAAATGGCGTCGATATAGTACATACATGTGATTGTGGCTGAGGCTGGGACCATGGTTGAGAAGGAGATCTCGGTTGATGAAACATTGTCCTTTTTAAATACTTCAAATGAACGCAATCCGGTTACAGAGATAAGTTTGTTATCAGACGTAAAAAGAGGACGGGTAACCTGATAATTGGCATTGTAAATGGGCGGCATGGAGAAAAAACAAAAATTTCCAAATTATTATTAATGTCCAGATTTGAATTCAAAATTTTCAGTTAATATTTACTATTTGCAAAATTAAAATTATGTTAATATAATTATTACACAGACCCTAAAGTGTGCATTCTTGGTTTAGGGGAATAATTGCCGCCTGCCACGCGGTAGACCCGGGTTCGATTCCCGGAGAATGCATTTTGGGTTTTTTAAATTTAATGTCAATTGCAGATTCCTTGGTATCTTTGATCGTAGATTTTGAAAATAACAAGACCAATCCGCTTTACCTATCTTCATCGCTTGATGGCATTTTGGAGTTGAAATTTCCCTTTTTGTCGGTGTATGAAGTGTGCAATGACCATTTTGAATTTTTGGAGGCTCTTTCGGTTTTTCAGTATTTCCCCTCCCCTGGTTCGTCCCATGGAATTTCCCCTATTGTTGTTACTGCGGTGAAAAAGATATTTTCCTCTTCCCCTTCATCATTAAGTCCGCTTAATAGTTGGTGCCTCGTAAGACTGGACCCATTGGTCCTGGAGGCATCTGAATGCATTCCCTCTACGGAGGCATTCCAAAGGAAACTTATCAAGGCCAACACAGATATATTGTAATTCTTTTGTTTCATAATTACTAGCTACCGACAACCGCGACACTCTTTGTTTAGAGAATGTAGTGCTGGATTTGCTCAACTGGCTACCCAGCTTCTGATCCCAGGCTATTGTTTAGAACATTTGCTTTGCCACTATTTAGGAGAATATGACCTTGACCCCTTTAGAGGGGTTTCTGTTTTCGTTTCAATCCTATCCGCACAGCTAGACTCATATTGGATTGCATATTGCATGTCCAACTCGCTAGTTGTTCCCCATCAAGCAGCGACTGTGACGCATAAAAAAGCCCTGTCTCCAGAGTTCTTGCAGACTCATCTTCTAAATTTATTTGATTCAAAAGCACTTCTCAATATCATGTTCCCGGTTCTTTGTCTAAAGCTTGAAACGACGGAGAGTTTGGGGCTGTTCATTATTGTTGCCATATACTGTTCTCGCACTGAAAAGCCGGTTTCTGCTCTTCGTCAGTTTACTCCCTTCATTAAGCTACAGGAACATTGGGCTTTGTTTTTCCTCGCAGTGGCAATTGTATATAGTTCAAATTTAAGTCAAATCAAGCATGCGGACATCTCAGAAGAATTTTCGTTTTCCATGAAGCCAACTAAGAGCATTCCAATGGAGATTGAAGATTTTCTGAACGCTCAACTTGGCTCATCTGAGTGGAGCTCGTGGCCCCAGTGGATTTTGAAACTGATTGCGTTTTTCAGAACTGGATGGATGCAAAGTGCACATTCTAGCGGGCAGCCTGTATATAAGGCCATTGCAGCATTAACAGGCATGTATGGAAACTCTGCACTTGGCTTTTTTTGCGCTGTCAAGTTTGATGAGAAAGACTTCCGTCAATTGCCCTTGGATGCCATATGCTTCGTGTACTTTCCTTCTTCTCTGTTGATTTTTTTGATTGATAATTTCGGATCCAAAGAGCCATGGGCTCCAGTACTTTTGGGAACAGTGCTTGGGCTGGTCGTTTGTCTTAAGAGAGAGTCATCGTTGACTTTGCATCAACATCTTTGGAACTCCGCTATCGGGGCGTTTCCCACCGAGACCAGATACCAAATGTATGACTTTGCATCTCTGATAAAAACTAACACGTTTGATTCATCCATTCCCGTTAGAAGGCTTTTGAGAAGAATTTCATCTGACAATGTGAGTTTGATGAAGACCGAATTTCTGGACACGCTTCATCAAGCCGATGTGTTCTTATCGGTTTCCGTGATTATAGACCAGATTTCTGCATATGAAAATCTTGGGGATCCCCTTGTCGGCATACTGGGTGGCGATGATAATGCCGAGCATACGCTTTCAAATTTGTATGCAGATGTATTTTCATGGACCATTTTATCCAAACATCTGCTGCAAAAGGCCCCCGAAATGCGCTTGAAAGAAGATGGCCTCCATGTGAGGCCCTGGCTGACAAGTTTGACTTTGTATCTTTATTGCCATTAGATTTATCCTCGTTTACCTCGAAGCTGCTTTCGTTTGAAAAAAGGATGGATCTCGGTCCGTTTTTGCAATATTTAGCCTCAATAACAAACTCCGATGATCCGGGGCTGTTAGCCGATCTTTATGCCTTTCTTCCAGGGATTTTGTCAAGAATCGGCGGAATACCCCCCATTCTTGAGGAGCTTTCAGCATCGCAGATTTCATGTCTTGCTGGCGGAAAGCTTTTAAAATTTTGTTCGCAGCAATGTCCCAGCGACTATTTTGCGACAAGGCACTCTGTGCCCCGCATACTACAAGCCGCAACTCCCCATCTCATTTGTCAGCTATGGATTTCGCTGGCATTGCTTCCCATCCGTTTGGTGTCTGTAGAGAGGGGAGGGCATGTGAAGGCCTTATCTTGGCTAATTGATTCGCTTTGTAGAACTTTTTTGCAGTTCACAGAGGCTGTCTCTATTTGGATCAAATCTGAGGATGATGTTCCGGACCTCAGATCGCAAATGATTGACATTCTTTTCCCTTCTCCTATGAATGTTGATTTTGCATCTGGCGACGACTCCGTGCTATCTTGCTTTTGCTCGCAAACAGGACTTGATCTATCGAGAGCAATGCTAATCATCAACACGCTATCGATGGAAGAGAAGCCCAATTATAGGATTGTGGATGGTATTTTTTGGAAGCTATCGCTTTCCAACATAAAGTTTCCGGAATCAGAGTATGATAGGCTGATCGCCCTGCTTGAAGAGCAGCCTTTTTCTTCATCCCACTCATTACAAGGAAAAAGGGATCGCGTGATGCTTGCTTCTCTTCGGTCATCAATTTTGGCCGAAAAATTGCTTCAAGAATCTTTGCTATTTAAGTTTGATTCGCAAGATTGCCGCACAAAGGAGCACTCCTATTGTATCGACAGGGGTCTCTGCTGCTGGCAAAGTGAATTTGACATCCTTGAACGTGCAATTATTCCTCGTGTGCTCCTTTCACTTTCGGACGCTATATTTTGCGCATATTGGATCCAAAAGTGCCATGAGGCCGAATGGCCGCTTTCTACTCTCATTCTCCTTGATCGTCTATTTGGCGTGTCGATCGTCTTGCTTTCCGGGCTCTCTTTGCAGGAATCCATCAACTTTGGCCGATTTCTACGAGTTATTCTGGAGTGGCTGTCATCGATTTCTCACATCAATATACAAGATCTCCCCTCAGAGGCAGTAGACACGCTTGCTTTTGCTTATTCCGTGTCAGGTCATAAGCTCGGATTTTGCCCCCATATCAGGCGGACAAGGCGAATGGTCCTAAACACCGCTTCTGTGGACTCCAATTTAGAGTCAGCTAGAATTTGCACCGAACCCAGTGCTAGCCCCATCGTTAATGATGAAAACATCTCGGCCACTTCTGAGTTGGTTCTTGGCTCAGATCCTTCCGAAAATGCGGCAGAAGAAACCCCCACCTGCGACGGTTATGCAAATTCTTCCTGTTTGCATGCATCTTCTGAAGATGCAGCGGCCACCAGATCGACAAAGTTCTGCTCCATGCTGTCAAATGCGACCTCCGCTGCTACTTCTGATCCGTTATCGTTTTCGCAATTTGGCTCTGTCTTTCGCAAGTGGCATATCAAGCTTTATAGGAGCTTTGCAAAGGTGCTAAATTTAACCTCCCATTGTAGAGAAAACTACACGTCTTATTGCCGAACCCGGAATGCGCTGGTGGTTTTAACGCTGTTGGTTGATTCCGTATTTCCTGTGCTCGATACCCATGGGATGGGACTAGAACGACTTATCTCTCCTCTGGCTACGACGTCGAAAGACTCCACTTCATCTTCAAATGATAATGAGGATATTCGGCTGCTTGCCAAACGATGCTTGTCTCTTCTTAGAGCCCGCTCCGTATGCTGGATATCCTCTGTAAGTACAGCGACATCTGCAGGCGCCGTGACATCTGCAAACGCAGCTCCAGACATCAAGACTCCCGTTCTTTCGTCCCCTTTACTCGATCTGTCTTCGGCCAACTCCATTGCTTTGCCGGTAACAGCAACAATGGCAGCAACCCCGGAGCCAGTGGAACTCGCACCGGTGCAAAAACAAATCTTGGAAAAAATCAAAGACGTTGTTAATTCATCTCCAAGCAAAAAGGAGTCATCATCAAAACCCCCTTCAGCCAAAGATACCATCCTCAAAGAGCCATATAAATCTTCCTCAAAATCCGAGCCTTCTAAAAAGGAAAGCTCTTCGATTAAGGAGGAAAGAATGAGAGGAGCGCCCTTCCCACGCGGACCATTAAAGGAAAGGCGATCTGGCCAAGCCGATGTGCCACGTTCTAACGTTCCGGGCGATAGTCTACGCCCCGGCGTCAATGAATCTTCCCGTGCGCCCATAGGCGACTCGACAGCTCATCATCGTAGTCATCGTTTTGAAGATGAGGATCGCTCTTCCTCCTCCTCATCCTCGTCAAGGCCTGCAATAAGGTCCTTTTCATCTTCATCCTCTTCTTCTGACAGAAAGCGTCGCCAGGACCCAAGGATGCCCTCGCGTCGTTATTAGCGTGTTGGGTTTATTTTCGCAACGATTTATTCTTGCCTGCCTACACCTTATTTTATAAACTTATTTGCTAAATCCGATCGACATCTTCTGTTTGTTGCTGCTGCGACCATCATCCATCACCATCCAAGTTAGAAAATAAGAGAACCGCACATGTAATTTTATTTGGATACAGGCTCAAGGAGAACCACGCCCTCAAGTACAGGGCTGAGAGCAGAGTATGCCTCATTAGCAMGCTCTGCCCTCTCAGAATAAGATAAGATCACAGGGGTAGCATGCGTCTGAAAACCGGTGATGGTCTTTGGACGTCCGGCCTGTCCTACAACATCAACTGCTTGACCGACGCGGACGGAAACATTCAGCGGTTCCAATGTTTTTGCGTCAAGAGTCATCAAGAATCGAGGGTAAAGAGCTGGCACAAGCAGGAAAAAAAGACCCGGATTTTTATCAATCAGAAATTCCGGTCCAAGGGAGAGAAAGATGGAGCAAATCGAAATCAGAGCCATCAACGACGGCTTACAAATGAGCGATTTGTGAGCGTGAAGCGGCGAAGCATGAAGGATTCCTTTTCCGGAATGCAAAAGCCCTTGTGCGAAACGCACCCCAAATAACAGATGGCCATCCCGAGAATAATACGAGGCCAGTGACCTGAGCATAATGGCCAGACGAGAATTATTTGTTCCCGCTCCAATCAGACCGAGGCCAAAGATGGCGCTCATGGCCACGGCCGTGTCATGGTCGTGAGAATATTTGGAAAGCGTCTCTAGAATGATTGTCTTGGGTGCTGAAACTGACAATAGCCCCATAGCCAATGGGACGGCACGGCGGATCGAAATATCACCATAGTGCATCTAAAAATCAAACAGCAGCAAATACCAAATGCCCAAGAAGCCTAAATGACATCTCAGTACCGATCTCTTCTCCCATTGCAATAGCGGCAAGAGCAATGACAGCATATGGTCTTCCATGACCCGGATCTGGGTGCTCATTTTTTGCATCTTGCTGCTCTTTTTGGCTCTTGTTTTGTAAACAAAGAGACGTAACTGCCTCTTGGATTTTCAATACATTTCCAGACCCGGCATAGGACATCATCATGATAAGAGTCTCGGCCTGTTTTACCGTAGGAGCATGCGAAATCACACGAATCGATTCAAGAACGACGTCAATCATATCGTCGCTATCAACACTGCTTTTTTCGTCGACATAATATTCAGAAGAGCGGGAAAGGAAAAGGAAGGACAGTCCAAGCAACATAAGCTGCACAAATGGATGCTCCAATTCGCTTTCTTGCAAGCTCATCAGGCTCTGTATTATGGTTGAGGTAATCTCTGGATTTCCACTGCCACCGAAAATCAGCCCCAATGCAAGAGAAGCCAAACCAAGGATCTCCAAATTGAGAGGGGAATCCTCAGAAACATCCAAAAGAGGAAGAAGTACATGAAGCAGTGGTTCTTTTCTTGTCCCAATATAAGCAATACCGAGCCTATGCTAAATTATACAAAAATAATACCCAATGATGGCAGACATCCGAATGTTGTGATCGATGCCGGGTGAAAGGGATTCTGAAAGTAAGGCCATGGCTGGCTCAGCTTCATTTTCCACGTTACAAGAAACGATCCCAATCGCCAAAAGAGCGCCCGCCTATTGTCAAATCAAAAGAAAATAGAATACCCTAACATTTGCATCCCCCGATTCTAGAAACTTGTCCAAATGTGATAATGCCACTTCAACGTTCCACAGGTGCATTAGCCCAATGCTTGCAATATTACAAATCAATGCTAAAAACAATAAAAGCCGATTTTAACGAACCATTTCCCCGAGCCTGCAACAGTCGTGATTCTCCCTCCGCTCCAAGAATCAGCTTGTCACTCCCAAATCCGGCATTTAAAAGTCCATTGACAAAAATAGAAGCCAGATCTTCTTTAGCAGGATCAGCAGGTACGAGAAGAGATGAAAATCTTCCCGGATTTTCTAAATGACGCTTGTAGACTTCTTCTGGGCTTTTGGGCTCTGTGACCTTAAACTCGGAAGCCAAGATGCTAAAGAAATGTGAAAGCTTTGAATTTGTTAAAATCTGCATTAGTTCCCGTTCTTCCGTTTCATCCATACAATGAGATACGTCTGGAATTATGCGCTCACGGGCCAGCATAAAGGAAAGCTGCCTTTTTAGGCCCCTAGAAGGTTAAAAAGACCAATTAGAAATACTTTTCGGCATTTGTGAAATCTTCTTGGATGGCCTGTAGATCCCCCAGGCGTAAAGCAATCAGCATTGCCTTTGGCACATCCTTGACTTTACGGTAGACTCCATGTATTACTCGAAGCAGCTTTTCATCATCAGGAGATGCCTCATAACCAACACATCTAGAATTATGGATCGGAGTTTGCAATGGTTACGAGGTGAGATAGAGGGCAATTCGTTGATAATTTCTAGCATCAACAAGAGAAGTTAATTGGGATAAGATTTCAACTTCTACTGCCAAATCACACGCATCGGCATCTGCATTATGCGCTAAGAAAAAAGGTAACAGTTCAGACGCCAAAGCTTGCAACTTTAAGCGGAGCGAATAATTTTCGAAGGCCTCTTCATATTCTCCCATGATCTCCATTGATAAGTGGCTTGAAAAATATTAAAACTCCCCATAGTTACCTGACATATTCGTGGCCCCAAGCGCCGGGTGCTTCCGCAGAGGCTCCGTGCATCCGGTAATGGAGGGTCAAACGCTGATCCTGTTCCCCATATGCCATGCTAAGCACAGACAAAATATCGGAAAGCTTTGCCTAAATGGAAGATGCCGTTTTACACGGAAAACAATACCTGATTTGAGTGGTCCATTGCCACCTGCTTTCCATCATGCAAATTCCGAAGTTGGGAATAATGGTCTTTCAGATATTTGATTGGCTTTGGAACACTAGTCATTGAAGTGGTTGCATTTTTGATTGCACTGGCAAGTGCATCAAGCGCTGCATTTACCACGCTTTGATCAACATCCTTAATGAAAGAAAGCCGTGAATACCTGGACACGCTCTACAAGAAGTTGGAGTTGCTCCTTCAGTAATCTGTCTTCCTCAGACTATGGTAAACATAAATGGGATATAGATTACGATTTCAGAATCAACATCCTTCTTCCCCGGTTCCGGATTAGCGTGAGAAGCTGGTGCAGTTGGGTGAAGGGAAGAAGAAGATTGTTGTAGGGGATTATTAGCGTCCATTTGATAAAATTAAATTTTCAAATTCCTTTATTTTGCATGTTTACAGATTGTATTCAGCAGCCTGCCTATAAGGCTGTTTCGTGGCTTATGAAGAACGGCAATATTTCAAATTGAAGCTTGATCCACTCGCTTTCAAAGGGCGCTGGCTTGTTTGTGCTTACAGCCTCAGGGGTGTCTCCAAAAAGGTAAACCCCTTGTGGGTATGAAGAGGGAGTAATCTCGGCCAAGGTAGTTATCACAATGTCTTCCTCATTTCCGGCCAAAGTGATGTTCATTTTAAAGCCTTCTGGGGCACTTCTGATCAATATATCCTTGGCCCTGTGAATGTCCTGCCCGTCGATCACATGCGACCATACTGTGTCAATCGCATAGGATTCTATCACTTTCCCCTCCCTGTCGAGTAGATCAAATTCGATTATGCCTGAACCATTTGTGTTGTGCGCAATCAGCCCGATCATTGCAAGAATTATTAGGACGAGCTTCATTTTGCAAAATAAAGTTTTGACCTCTGATGTGATGATATTCCCCAACGCCGAAACTTTAATTTCAAAGCGACATGTAAACCCCATCCCAGCGTCATATTGTATGCTACAAATTGGCACAGCTTGCCATGTTTATTAACCCAAGCACGCTATGATAATGCTGCTGCTCCTGCCTTCAACCCAGTTGGGCGAAGCAGCTCCAACCTCTCTTCCCTATTTGGAAGAGCCAAAGGCACTCGTAGACGATATGAGAATGGATTAAAAAAGGCGCTAAGAAAATATGTCATCGCCACAAGAGTTTCGGGAGTTTTCTCTTGCAATTGTAGGGGGAAATGTACCTTCAAGTGCGGTCTGATATAAATGTAAAACGGATTCACATTTGGCGCAGAAAAAAGATCGGAAAGGCCATCAAAGTGGCCTTCGACATCGGGAAACTTGAGGCAATCTAAGGGCGATATAACGTATGTAGTTTTTGCCGAGAGAGGATTATCGCCGCTTTTAAAGGCCCGCTCATGAAATTTGTGTCTGGCAATAAGCTTGCGCCGTAATTTGGACTTGACACGTTTTATAATATCCTCGGACAGCGGGTTGAACGAGTTCGAGCGTGTGAAAGCGCCAAGCATCTCATCACGTGCAATTTTATGAACATCCAGTGAATGTGTCAGCAGTCCGTTTCTTGTGGGAAGACGTTGGAACGATGGATCTGGAAGGTAAAACTCGCGGAGCTTATCCAGAAATTCAAAGGACTCGGCCTCATTCCGCAAAGAGCAGCTGATTTTGAGACCAGAATGCGAGGAAGTGGCTTTTCTGTAATCATCGGCACTCATCATGTTCTTTGCGTGTTTTTTTCCGGAAGCTGCATTTGAAGCGAAATTGAGCTTCGTCAATAGAAGCGCTCTTTTTTCCTTGTCTGATCTTCTACCATTATCAGACATTTCATCTTTGACAGAATTGGGAGACGAAGGCGACAAATAAATGTTGCTTGAAAGCCCATTGAACAAAATTTCAGACGTTCCTTCCCTGAACACATTGCAAGGTGTAGCGTTTGGTCGCTTGCCAGTGAGAAGCTGGAGCAAAAGTGCCGACTTGTATTTATAGTTTGGGTTATGTGCAGTACCACCGTCTAAAACCATGGAGACATCCATGCTAAGAATAGAAACATAGCCGTTGAAGAGATTGAGCATATCAGGCCGCAATATCCGCTCATAGTACTCCAGAAGCCGATTCCTGAGTAACATTGAATATTTGCACAAAATCTAAATAGTCCCAACGCCATTTATTCAATTAAAATTTAGCCGACGAAAGATGGCCCGTGTGCCTATCTGTCTGTATGTATGTCTGTGTGTGTGCCTGTGTGCCTGTCTGTCGTTCACTCGAGCTCATATAGACCGGGAATCTCGTGAAGCCCAAAACGGTCAAATTTAAGAAAAAAATTTTGTATTGCGAACAAAAAAAGAGCATATCGCCAAGAAAAGGAACACAATAAGAATCATTAAGACTAAGAAAAGGAAAACAGTTTTAATTGGAAGCGAAAGCGCGTTGGAAATAAAGTCGCCGATATACATTCTTAAATGCAAAAATCTAACACTGGAGTCCACTGGGTTTATGCTCTCTCTACATTCTTTCTCAGCCTTGAGCTGTTTTGACCTTATGGCATAGAGCCCGAAAATTGGTTTGTGGTCCGAAGAAATGATAAATGGCGTTGAAGTGTACACCTCTGGCTGGATAGTGTTTGCGCCAGAAGAGTAATATAGGATCCGATCGCACCAGCTTGGAATGTGGACAGACTTGTCGATGATGTCGAGATGGTTTGACCCCGGGATATACTTGTAAGTTGGCGGGAAAGTGATTCTTGCCTCATCAAACTCGGAGAATGAGTACCTGCTGATCCGATCAAAGGTTAGCTGATCAAAAGCAAGCAAAGCGGGCCAGTTTTTGTCCTTCAGCCATTGGGGAATATTTCTCCACTCACTTTTGTGGCTCCCCCCGTTGATCTCCGCGTTCAGCGGAATTGGGGAAATCGGAAATGACGAGGGAAAAGGCCCCAAAGATGGGCTCATTTGAATAAGTGGAGAGATATCTATCTGGGTTTCGTCTGGGTTTCTTGCAGTGGTCTCCATATTCTGATCAAAAAGACAGTTCTTATCGGAAAGCCTATAATTAAAGTCGCCAAAGAAAAAGGCAATTGAAGTGGAAGTGATCCTAGCATCTGAAAGAGCATCATCGCCTTTTCCGTGCAAAAAGAGCCTGTGGAATATCGTTTCATATTCGGATCTTCTGGATGCAATGTTATTTGGATTGGCAGAAAAATGAGCATTAATGACTGAAATGTCGCCCTCAAAGAGAGAATCGCCATTTGCATCTTTAAGGGACACAGAGAGCTGGACCCCAATCGCCCCTTTCGATCCGACAAACAAAGGACCGGTGCCAAAATGAGCCCTTCTACAAACCGAAACCGAAAGTGAATTGCCTTTGGGGTAGGATGTTCTTTGAAAGATAACAAGGAAGAACCCCATCCATTGAATCGATCCAACAACGCAATATCGAGAAAGGTGATTCGGAATGAAGGTAATGCTTAATGCAGCTTCAATTTGGACAATCCACTTTTTTACTTGGGGATCTTCCCAATGAAGAGTTGCCTTCCATTCCTGAAACCCGAGAATGATGAGGTCCGGATGCGAATCTACTTCGCCATTTGATAAGAACCCTTTGCCGGACAGAATATCGTATTCGGTCAGCTTTTCCTGTTGCGAATACCCGCCCGGGGTAGATGGCGAAAGCGAGTCTGAAGAGTCAAATAGACAATTTTCAGCTTCAAATGGATTAACGCGTTGGCACTCGAAGGCCATATGTTTGAGCCAATGTGTTATTTCTGACAAAGAAGACTCGTTCTGGGAATTGATATTCCACGAGCCAATCATGATTTTCAGCGATGGCTTTTCATTGCTCGTCAGGAGAAGCGGAGGCTGTTCATGGAGCATTAATATTTTTAGGGTTAGCAAACTTGAGCAATAGGCAAAAGCTTCTCTACCGACCGTGAAACATTAAACTTGGAATTGGGCTAATCATAACATGTCGCACATTTTTGAGGTTTTAAATTTATTTAGAAAAAGAATGTCTAAATGTGTGCATGTGTGTGTGCCTGTGCAAATATTCATTTAGAAAGGCATTCCCGCCTACCCGCTTAAATTCTTGCGTCAAATATGATGTTGTGTCCAAATTTTCAGCAGCATGGGCGATTATCTTCACCCACCACAAACACCACCACCCTCCTCCCCAAGAAGGGTAAATAAGGAACACACAAATGTTTCCTTCAATTTCAGCACCCCCGTGCAATCTTCTCCCAATTGTCACCCAAATGGAAAATGGTCAGCAAGTGCGGAAGAAAATTTGCCATCTAAAAAGTCATCATCAAGGGTTCTCAATTTCTCTCTATCCCAGTCAAAAAAGAAAAAGAAAAGGAGAGAATCCAGTGAGGTTCCTACTTTCTGGGGATTGACAACAATGACTTCGCCAAATTTTAATCCTTCCCGCCTCACTTCACGTCAGCAAGCGTCTTTGATGTCAAAATGCGAAGCCTTGGGAAGAAATATCGATGCCTTTACTCCCGAAGTGCTCTCAACACTTTCTCCTTTTGTTCTGGATCGGATCTCAAACGAATCATCAGGTATTATACCGTGGACTCAACAGCTGAATACAACATCGCCGAAGAGATGTTCAGACATTTCAGCAACGGAATCCCATGCTGAAAAAGAAAACTTGCTTTCTTCCACAGCAAAAGAAAATCCCCGCTTCTCCAGGAAGGTAAATCAGAAAATTAGATCTGCTGCAACCGTCGAAAACCCCAGCATAAAGTTATCAACTAAAGCTCAATTTAAATCGAAAAAAGATTTTGTGCCTACAGATGGTGCAAAAGATAAAGGCACAAATTCCAAGCAGTGCCAAATATCGCTTGCAAAAGTTGAAAAGAACCCTAAAGGATCACAATCCTTAAATACAGACAACTTTTTGAGGAAAATCCACATGATTTCGCCAGATTCAAATCATGACTTTGTACAAAATGCCGCTTCCACTTTTTTAGATGTTGCAAAGCCTACTTTTAACACCGACCTTATAAAGGATAACAAAAATAATGGTCCCATTTTGGAATCCGTTTTTGGAACGGAACCTGGCAAAGTCTGTGAAACTCCAATTGCCAACGAATCGCATGGATTCTTTTCAACTAATCTGTCGCAGTTATCCGATAAGCCCCTTGCTAACCCTTCGCCAATTTTGATAGAAACTGGTTCCACATCGCCAGTGCAGAATTCTTTTGCATCCGAAATTGTTGTGCCCAGATGTTTCCTTCCCTCGCTGCCAAGTACGGGGACTCGCTTTTCAAAAACCTATCAGGACATAATTTACAAAAGAGCCGTTTGCCAGATTCACAAGTTTATATCTGAAGATGGTACGTGCTGCAAAGATCTGCTCTCAAAAGTAAAAAACTGCTCTAGCCCTTCACTAGCTCTGCAATGTTTCCTTTCTTCAAATGATGATCTTTGTCTTCATACAAAAAAGAACGAATTAATTTCATTTCTTACCTATCTGCTTGTTTAGGCCAAGTTCGCTGGCTTAATTTTGAACGAGCTTTACCTGTCTTTCCTGAAGGACAGTGTATATGCCATATCCAATTAAAATATCATTTTTGTCATCTACATAGCAAAGTACCACTTGGCATACTTTAATCAATAGCTTTATTAAGAATCCATTTGTGGCCGATCATTGATTTGTCGGGCGTGACGAACTCCGCCATTTGATGGTACATTAAATTTGCGTATATGTTACAAATTTAAATTGATATCGTCGAGGGTGGCCAAACCTAAATTTTCATGTCTATTGCCCCAATACATCCACAGAATTTTCCATTTATATATTTTGGCCACCCCCTTATCCTTTCAGAGGAGAAAAGCAAATTTGTGCCCATTTGGAAGCAACAGGTACTTTGTTTTCTGATTCTCCCATCTCTAGGCTACGGACGAAAAGGGTCGGAAGAGGTTTCATGGTGCTTTTACAGGTGGGTTCACAGCCGGCTATCACAATACCGTTGGATCAAAGGAGGGATGGCTTCCCTCTGAATATAAGAAAAAGAGTTATTCTGGAAATAGGGAGGACCGTCTGCTTTCCATTATGGATGAAGAGGATGTTGACGACTATTCTCAGGCTGCACATTCTAGAGCTTTATTACCAAAGTCTTGTAGAAAATTGACCCTCAATTTAAAGATCATCCCCATACGTTCGGACCAGCAAGCTAGGAAACAAAATTTTGACTCCAGTTGTCCTTCTTTGCAAATCATCGCGCAGGCAAGAGAATTAATGGCCGAAGGTCAATTGGGACAATCCGTTTCTTCAAAACCCAGAAGCAACGAAGTTATTGATGATGATGAACAGAGCTACGAGGATGATCACTGCTACGGGTCTCCGGAGCACCGAATTGATGAAAAGAAATTGAGCATTAAAGCCAAACTTTCGATCGCTCCGTTTGAATTAAGGGTGTATGAAGCACTATCAAGTACCGACATCATGGCGAGTGAAAAAAATGAAATTCCAATTGATTTGCTTGTGACTCCTCAAACAATTCCAGAATCATTTTTTCTTACCCCAAGATCTGATAAAATTGACCATTCTGCTGCAACAGGATCTATTCTTACGCCAATGGAGGCGAATGCAGCCCTTTCTTCATCGTATGAACCATTTGAGTCTGCTCCTGAAAAGCAAAAGCGATACAAGTTGTTTCTACATTCTATTGCGAAAGGAAATAATTTACTACTTGAGGTTTGATGAAATATTTTTAAAAGCAAAATAGAAAGACGAATTCCACGAAATGAAAGAGTTCTACCGGGCTGCTTTGATATTTAGACCGCTGTCGCATGAAATGTCTCAGCGGTTTATTTCTTCCACTGGAAAAGAAGAGCCTCAAAATAGAAAAGAAGCTTCCAGCATAGATGCGATTATCGGGGAGCGGGCAATCCCTTGGATTCCATCTTTGATTCTTTGTAAAAGACTTGGAATTGACCCTCCATCGAAAAAAGAGCATATGCCACAAAAATTTGTCAAAGAGATCTTGGATAGAGATACGATGCGCTTAATGCTTAAATCCCTCTCATCCTCATCGACACCTGTTCTTGATWTGGAATCTGAGGATTTCGTTTATGATTCCATTACTGCCTTTGAACTTAGGCCGGAGCCCTCCTTCTTTAAGGAGCTATTTGATACACCTGCTTCCTACAACCTTAATAGTGATTTATGTATCAGAAATGAGACTTTGAACGATCAACCGGTAGGATCTGTTGAACCAAAGCCATCGGCTGCCAAAATCATCTCCAATGTCCCGAAAAAAAATATCGCTACCAAACAGCAGGGAAGGACTTTGTCTTTCGATTGACATCCCCAGAGATTTTCTTTGATCGAAATGCAATTAATATTTAAAAATTAACCAATCCACATTGCAAAGTCCTATCATATGAACACGACCAAACATGTATCAACTTTAAATAAACGTGGATCATGCTGCTCGGTTAATTGTAATTATAAATTTATTGCCCATCCTCCACTTCAATCATTTGGCTATTTGTGGGTATGAATTTTTTAGGACCATGGTCCAAACATTTTGCATTTGTGATTTTTAACATCCTCATATGCTGCCATGCGCTTTGTTTTAGAAGTTGCTGTTTTTTCAAATGGAACTTCACTTATATAGATAAAGCTGGGGGTGAGGACTGGAGGAAGTTGTATTTCTTTGGTTTTGGCTTTTTTCATAATTTCCGAAAAAGTTTTTTTTGCTTCTGGTTTTGTTATAGATTGTCCCTCTTTGTATGAAGTCTGGTAAACAATGATGCTCATAATGCCTTTCACTTGGTTATAGTAAAGCAGAACCTCAGTAGATTCTGTGTTAATAGCATCCTCATAGTTAGCGAGATTGTAATATATTCCGTCAGTTGCTTTAATTACGTCATTGCCTCTTCCCACTATCGAAATAGCGCCATTGTCATCAAGCTTAACAAGATCACTAGTATTAAGCCATCGTTTACCGGAGTTAGAATCGATAGCGAATACAGCATTTGTCTTCTCAGCATCACCGTAATATTCACGGAAAAGAGTTGGCCCGTTGAGGAAGAGAAGATAGATGTTGAAATCTTGGGCAACTAGACAAAAAGATAAGCTCGGAATGGGATGTCCAACAGAATTATACGTATTTTTCCCTTTTTTAGTTATAAAGCTAGCAGCACTGGTTTCTGTCTGTCCATATCCTTGACGAATATCGCAGTTAGGGAGGGTATCTGAAATCCATTCATAAATGTCCTTGCCGAGAGGTGCAGATCCAATAAGCATAGCCTAAATATGAGAACCATAACATGTATACCTTGAGCCTGTTTCTAAAAATAAGCCAGAATGAAACTCTCGAAATAAGTATACTACCCCAATATCTTAATCGCTTAGAAAAAGACAGCATAAACTA